CAATGTCACCACTCCCTTATGAACCTCCACAGTGCTTGGCACATGACAAACACTTTAATGAATAACTTTTTCTTTGAGACAGGGTTTCACTGTGTAGCCCTGGCTCTACTGGAACTCACTCTTTAGAGTAGGCTGGCCTCAAACTCAGAGATCCACCTGCCTCTGCCTCCAAGAGCTGAGATTAAAGGTGTACACCACTACCGCCCAGCTAATAAATAACACTTTTTAATGATGAAATAAAGGTCTTTTGAGAGTAAAACTCTATGATGTACTAAGGACCTAAGCTGGTTTAGGAAATGAACTATAATGGGAAGGAATTTGCAGGGCCCCTAAGCCCTCCCATCTCTGTACAGTCATCCTGACATCTGAAAAGTACATCCACTTGAAATGCTTTTACTGTTTGTCATCTGAAATAATACACAACATGGATATTGTAAGTATGAATACGTAAGGGTCACGCATCTTTAAATCTTTTTATTGATTATTTACAACTATCAACAAATACTCATATATTAGCAAGTCCAGCATAAAAGCAGATCATATGCAACGTGAAAATTAGTTGGTAAACAAGTCTTTGAGATGCTCAAAATTTTTATCCTATTTGTGACAGTGAGTAATAAACACAGTAAAAATAATTATATAAAATAAAAATATAAAACCAAATACAAATATAATAAGCAGCTAATACACATGAGAAACATGTTTACATAACTACAAATAGGATTCTTGGCATTAATTTTGGTCTATTTCTGTAAGTTTGTTTTGGTGTGGTGGTTGATTTCTAAGCCGCTGGATATAGGCAAACATAACTCCATTTATGGTTTAAACCTGGAATGGCCCTGTAATGAAGAACTGAAAAGTAAGGAGAGAATTTTTGGAAGGGGTCCAAACTGCAAACAAAGCCTCAAAACCTTAAAAAAAGTAAAATTTATTTTTTTTTCCAATTGGCTATACAATTATTCTGGCTCTCAGAAACTGAAGTCATTTAAAGATATTTTATGTTTATGAGTGTTTTGCCTGCATGTATGTATGTGTGGTGTGTGCCCGGTGCCTGAGTGTCTGGAAGAGGACGTCAGATCCCCTTGGAACCCGAGTTACAGATGGCTGTGAGCAGCTGTATGGTGCTGGGGAACAGACGTGCATCCTCAACAAGAGGAGCAAGTGCTCTTAACTGCTGAGTTATCTCCAGCCCTCAGAAACTGAAATCTTCAATATGAACCAAGATCTTCATTGATTTCTCTAGTGAAATTAAGCACAGAGTGTGTGGGGGGGAGTGTTTCATTAGAATACATATCATATGGCCGGGCAGTGGTGGCACACACCTTTAATCCCAGCACTCAGGAGCCAGAGCCAGGCGGATCTCTGTGAGTTCGAGGCCAGCCTGGTCTACAAAGGGAGTTCCAGAAAGGCGCAAAGCTACGCAGAGAAACCCTGTCTCGAAAAACCAAAAAAAAAAAAAAAAAATACATATTATAAGACAAAAATGTACTTTATACAAGGAAACAGACTCATATTCATTTTAACATAGCAAGCCTTGTATGTATGTGAACACTTGTCTAAAATGAAGTACTAGTGTGTGGGATACAGCTCAGTTGGTAGAGTACTTGCCTTATGCACAAAGCCCTGCATTCAGTCTCCAGCACGGCATAAACTGAGCATGCTATCATCTAGCACTCTGGAGGCAGAGGTGGGAGCATCAGCAGTTCAAAGTCATTCTAGCCTACACAGTGAATTCAAGGCCACCCTGGGCTACACAATACCCTGTCTAAAAAGAAAAAAGAAAGAAATATCCTGTCAGTTCTAAGTAGTACGGATTAACAGAGTAGAGGAAGAGGGATTACAAAGATTCTGTAAAGATCTGGCAAACACTATACACTGCTTCAGCAGTAGACTCATCTTTTAACTAGTTTGCTGAGTTGAGTGATATGACATCTTCACAGCCTAAGATATAACAATGGAGCAGCCCCGGGAAGCACCAGGGAAGGCTGGTCCAAGAATGACCACGTGTGGATGACTGTGCTGACCACACATGCATATTTCAGTACATCACTCTCAAAAACTATACATCTCTCCACAAGCCCAACAATGTCCTGGTCTTTACTGTGGTCTGCTGGCTATTTCCAACATGGCCTTCGTGAGAAAGAAGCACTTAAAACGGGCTCTGACTTAGATGTACGTTCTTCCTATGAAGACGATTCATTAGGAACTAGAGATAGTTCTGGAAAATAGAAGTGCTCACAGTGAAGATATAGGGCAAAGTCATTACTAGGCATAACTCTGGGAGTGGGAGTTACACTCACATGTGAAGGAGGTGAGCACTTATTTTTTAGCACTGGTTTTGATGAATTGGTAGCAACAGCAAACCATATTTAAACAATCATAGTTCAACTTACACGTGATTCCCTGCTGGTTTTTTTATATGATGAAGGATTATCGAAGTAGGATATTCAATGAAGAGTTTTGACTTTTAAAAATATATGCCAATTATATGTTATCAAATCCATTTAAAGCCTACACGTTTTGAAAGTGGGGAAGATTCTCATTTGGTGAGAAGCACTGTTTGTGCATCTCGCTCCCATTCCTTAAAAGTTAGAGTTGTTTGTGGAGGACAAGCAGGCGATCCTGGACACTTGCTTCATCACACATAAATCCCAAGCCTGAGCCACAGGCCCATACGTATTTGCTAAAGACTAGACTCAGCCTTCAGGGCAAGTCCATCATTTCAGAGGTCGACGCAGAGCATGGCCCACAGCCTGGCACCTAGCAGGATAATGTACTGCTGGGCACAGAATTCTCCACTCCAATAAAGGCTCGAATTCTGTGGTGAGATTGGACTCATGTCTCTGGCGGCTTCCTGATAGTTACATATAAAAAAAGTGAAATTTATTGGTAATATAGCACATCGTGAACCCCCTAAACAAACATTAAAACAATTTGCCCAAGGTTATGAAGAAACAGTGATTACAAAGCAGAGTCCCTTTCCTAGTATAACTGCAATAATATGGTTACTTTGGAGACAAATGGGTACTGTCAAAATGTATAGTAAAAATACACACATTCTCTCTTTAAAGTCCTCTGTACCTTATGTTAGAGTTGTATTCTAAAGTGTTCATGAACGAAACTGTATGCTTCCTAGAATTTTTTTTAAAGCATTACATTAAAAAATGTCTGTAATATAATGTAAAAGAGGAGATGGCGTCAAATGTTAGCAGTCAGAAGGTCTGGGTGACAGGCCCTTCGTGTCTTCATGTGCTATCGATGATCTTATCCTACCGTATCTGTGAAGGCCCCAACCTCTGAAACAGAACACTTCCAACAAATTTCAGCAGTAAAGAGTAAAGGCAAAATAAAGGTGTTTTCAACTATCAAAAGTACTACATTGGGTAAAGTGGCACATGGGAGGCAGAGGCTGGTAGATCTGTGTGAGTTTGAGACTAGCCTAGTCTACAGAGCAAGTTCTAGGCTAGTTGGGGCTACAGAGTGAAACTCTGTCTTTAAAAAAATAATGTTTCATATGAGAAAATTTGGTAACTTATAACATTCTGTATAGAACAAGTTACATGACTTATAATACTGAAAGGTTGTAAACAGCTGAAGTGTTAATTAATAGGGAGCTAGTTAAACATGGCATGCCCACAGCCAATAAAATACTATGCAAAAATGAAAAGTGCTGAGTAAAGCAAGAAGTCCCAGGGCAGCACACACAACCTTCTTCTCGCCCATAGGCAATGTCTGGAAGACCTTCCTCAGTATTCCGAGTGATCATCTCTGCAAAGAGCAATTGTGGGCAGATTTTTACTTTTTAGAAATTTATGATTTTGTTTTATGTGTCTGGGTGTTTTGCCCACATATATGACTGCGTACCATGTTCAAGTCTGATGTCCTCAGAGTCCAGAAGATGGCATTGTATCCCCTGGAAGAGGAGCCAGTGCTCTTAATTGTCAAGCCATCTCTCCAGGCCCCAATTAAATTAAACTTGTTTATTGAACTACTCCATATTGCTATAAAATCTTTCCCGAAGTGTGTATTAATCGTATAGCTGGGGGATAGTATTGTCCATAGATCACTGTAGGAACTACAATTTTCTCATGTTATTCTTCCTACTAGAATGATTTCATGTTAATATCATGTCAGGCATTAAGTCATTCAAAATGAGAAGGTGACCATACTTCTGAGAACATGGAACTAGAATAGATTTCTCTCTAAAAATGCAAATAGCCATTTCTAAGGCACATACAATATTTTCTTCAGCCACATGAGAGCATTAAAATGAAGATGTTTAAGACTGCATACGATACCACATCATAAAACATACAGAAATAAACTTAGGTACCTTTTACTTAATTCAAATCAGGTTGAAAATTCTATTAGCTATAGAAAGAAATAGCATTTGGAAAAGAAAAATGTTTTCTAGTTGGTTCTTAAAGAATCTAAATGTATGCCAATAGTTTTATGTGAAGAATATTTGTGGATGTTTTAGAATGTTTGTTCTTAGAATAGAACAGATGGCAACAAGGAATAAAATGTTATTTCCAGATGTACAATTTTGTGAATTTGGTGCCAGGGACCCAGAATGATAATTAAATCTCAAGTTTAAGCATAGCTGGCACCATAGCACTTCAGGAGTAGATTTCAACTTAATGATTAGCTCTGGGACTTCACTGAAGGTCTGTTATTTGGGTCATGCCCAAGCAGGAAGATATTTCAGTGGGTCACAGTCTTGCAAATTCAGTCTGCTGCTGTGGCCGCAATGCTGGCACTGGCTTCCTAGTCTGTGAGACCCTGGAACTAAAGAGAAGAGAGCCTGAAGGGGGGCGGGTAGTGGTGGGGTGGGGGGTGGTGGTGGGGGTCCTTTCTCAAAGCCATTCTTCTTTGGGTCTACACAATGTAAAACAGTTGTTTACTCACAGGATGTGCTGTTCCTATTTCCTTGCTAATTTAAGTGTAGCTATCTCTATTTAAGTAACTTAAGCAAAACAAGTGCACACCACTGCAGTTACCTGGGAGGCAGTCTCTGTTCCACACTGTACTCAGCCTCAGGAACCCTGAGGGAATTCTTGGGTTTTGTTGTACTAGACACCTGTATCAAATTGAAGAACAGCATTTTGTTACAAATTAGACATATTACTACCAGTTTTGACTCTTAAGGGAGCAGGTCTCTTTTTTAAAAGACTGACAGTCACACACACACACACACACACACACACACACACACACACACACACACTGAATCTTGGTCATTTTCATTTCCAGAACTTCCTCAAACCCCCTCCTCTCCTCTACCAAAGCCCTTTAAAACAAGTCCTGCTCCTACTCTGATGTCTTTATTTTGCTGTCCGACTGAGTTTAATTTTGGTTACTTGCATGAGCATGGTGGGAAATTATTTGCTGGAGCATGGTCAACAGGTCAGTGACTACACCACCAAAGAAAACGGTCCCTTCCCCCTAGCGACCCTTAACAGCTCACACTCTCTCGGGGTGGCTGGGGACTCATGAGCCCCTTTCCCCATCCATGCTGAAAGGCTGGCGGTCCCAGGCTTCTTCAGGTCTCTTGCAGGGAACCATAGCTCCAGTGAGTTCATGGGTTCAAGGCCATGTCATGTCCAGAGACACTGTTTCACAGCGCTCCTCCCTACCAGCCAGCTCTGACGGCCTTTCTGCTCCCTTACTACAATGTTCTGTGGACCTCGGATGTCCTTTTTGTTGTTGTTTGTTGATTTGTTTGTTTGTTTGTAGACAGGGTTTCTCTGTGTAGCCCTGGCTGCCCTGGAACTCGATCTGTAGACCAAGCTGACCTCAAACTCACAGAGATCTGCCTGCCTCTGCCTCCTAAATGCTGGGAATAAAGGCAGGCACTACCACTGTACCACCTGGCTAGATGTCCTTTTTAGGGTGGAGCACAGTTGCCTTTCTTAATTATCGAATTTCTACATCAACTTGGGCATGTTATTTACATTCTTATTTAAGAGTCTAAAAGTATAGCCTATTATGGATTTTTTCCAGATTGGCAGGAAAACAAACCGTTACCTGTTTCTTAGAAGAACCGGGTTGCCCATGACGTGCAGCATTAGAGCAAAGATTTGTAGCAGATTTTGAAGACTCAAGACATAACTTCCCTCTGTGCTTGTGGGATGCTTTGCTCACTGTGAGGCCATATTCACCTCCATCAGCTTCTTTAATTCGATTTGCTAGCTGTGGCTGCTGTAGTTGGGAGTCTTCAGTCTCTAAGTCTGATTCAAAAATGTGTGGCTGGCTTTTGAGCTTTAGTGACTCATGGCTTTTCCCCAAAATTTGTGCTATAAATCTGCTTGTTAAATTGTGTTTTCCGCTGGTGTGGCTGTCAACAGCATTTTTTATCACCCTTAAGCTGTTACTTGACATTTGTGTCACGGCATTAGTAGACAGTGGTCTACCTTCACTGGAGTACACAGTCTGCATCGCATCAGAAGAGGGATGGTCCCTCTTGCGCTCACAGAACTCAGAGCTCTTCTCTAGCAGAGGTCTGACGCTCTTCTGGTTTAAGTTCCTAGCCTGTACCTGAGTGTTACTATCTGGTCTTTTTCTAGTAGCTGAACCTAAACTTGGTTTGCCTCCCTGGGTTACACTAGTTTTCTGTGCCGGTAGGGTAGGCTCTGTAACAGCGCTCTGTTTTCTTTTCATGTTGCCAAGTGCTGAGATGTCTTTGTTCCCTTGCTCAGATTTCCTTTTGAAAACTGGTATGAATGCCGGGGCTCTCTTACTTTGTGAGCAAAGATTATTGTGTTGAACTTGTGTGTTATCTCTGTTGAGTTTTGACACTTCCAAATGCAGCTGTGGTGCCTGGAGAGGCCAGGAGGGCTTCCGGTCCTGAGGAGACCCTGGCTGGGAGGGATCAGCTGAAAACAAGCCTGAGCACTGCTGGCTGACAAAAGGCTCCACCTTGTGGTTGGCTGCAGTTGGCTGTGGGACTAAACACAGAGCCCCTGTGGGTTTCAGCAAAGTGGCCTGAGTTAGAGAAGCTCTGAAGTGTTTCTTAGTCGTCAGATTCGGGGGCTTGACTTTGTTTTCCTGGAAGGATAGAGATTGGGGAAATTTAAAAATGTAATAAATTTAAGTGAAATGAGAAAGAAAATAAAACGTATCAGAATAAGAATACAAAGTAACACTAAAATGCATAGAACCATTGAAAAAGAAAATATAAACGAGCCTTCTGGTGTAACGTGTAGATTTCTCATGGCACATTATAACCCTATGTAGATCAACTGTAAAAATTACACACGGCTACATGGATGTGCTCAAGCAAGCTCCGGGCTCCCTGTGTCCCTCTTCTTTCCACTGCTCTATGCTGTGGCTTCTCTCTCTCTCTCTCTCTCTCTCTCTCTCTCTCTCTCTCTCTCTCTCTCTCTCTCTCTCTCTTTTATTTTCGAGACAGGGTTTCTCTGTGTAGTTTTGGAGCCTGTCCTGGATCTCACTTTGTAGACCAGGCTGGCCTCGAACTCACAGAGATCCACCTGGCTCTGCCTCCCCAGTGCTGGGATTAAAGGCGTGCACCACCGCCCGGCGGCCTCTCCTTTCTTTAAAGTCCTATATCCTGTGAGTCCTCCACCAGTCAACCTACCACAGAATGGACTTTCATTTCATTTTTCAAGGTCCTGTTACTAGTTAGTATTTGTCATATAAATAGCACAAGGTAGCATGGTCAGGCACTTTAGTGTCCACATTCTATCTCCCTAAATAGATATTGACATCTTGGAGTGTAAGAACTACGGCTTACGTATTCTTGTCTCTTCAAAGTTATTGAGAAAACTTGCTGAAAAGATCTAATGGAGGGTGGGTGGGTTGGTGCATGTGCACGGGACCTTTAAGTGAGATGTAGACTGCAGGGCGGGCTGCCTGTCTTAGCCTGCTTGTGTTTTCACTGTCTACCAGTTTCTGGCGCCCACCAGGAACTCAGCAAGGATTTGTCAAACCGACTAGTTAGACACAGCAAGAAGATCCAAGCATGTCCTCTGCTTTAGGAGCTCGGTTTGCGGGTAATGTCAAGTTTTACCATGCTCGCTTCTGAGCACATAGACTAAAGCTGGAACAGGACAGAGGTCAGTTTGGCCCCTGCACGAGGACGACAGGCAAACTTGTGAAGTGCTCCATATTGAATAAGGAGGCAAACAAAAGAAACAGAACATTTCCATTACACCGTTCTAGGTGCACAGTTCAGAGGCCTCCAGCACACTCGCCACTGAACTGGGTGACAGAACTGTCACCTGCCTTCTCTTCACCCCACACAAAAACAAAACTCTGTGCTTTGTAAATAATAACTCACACCTCCCCTTACACCGGTTCTGGTAACTCCCGCTCTGTTTTCTTGTGCTATGTCTCTGCCCGTTCTAGACACTTCATATGAGATCACACGATTTCTTCTTCAGCTTATTTCACCTAACATGCTATGTTTTCAAGACTCAGGCACGTTGTAGCATGTATCAGAATTCCTTTTCTTGTGATTGGCTATTCCATTGTATGTATATGACAGTTTGCTTGTCTCTTCAATTGCTGATGGAAAGTGCTTCTAGTGTTTTGAAATAAATGTATCCTGGGCTTTAGCTTCTGTGTAAGGACAACTGCACTGGTTAGCTTTTGTCAACTTGCCACAAACTAGAGTCACCTGGGAATAGGGGGTCTCAACTGAGGAACTACCTCCATCAGATTGGTCTGTGGGCATGCCTGGGGAGGAAATTTCTTGATTAATCATTGACGTCAGAGGGTCCAGCCCACTATGGGTGATGCCACCACTGGAAAGCTGTTCCTATGTTATATAAGAAAGCAGGCTTAACAAGCTATGAAGAGCAAGCCAGTAAGTCCCGTTTCTCTGTGGTACCTGCTTCTGCTCCTCCTAGAGTTCCTGCTCTGAGCTTCCTCAATGGCAATACCCTCCCCAGCCCCGTGATGCTTTTGGTCATGGTATTTAGCAACAGAAAGTAAAGGAATATAATAAAATTTGGCAATAGCTTGAAATGTAGATCACAGATTTATCTTTCTATTCTTAGAGATTAAAAATATGTCACAGCTTGAAACAAAAACCGTAAAAGTTATGCAAACCAGAACAATTAAATTTCCTTTCTTCTATCAAGTTTCAGGTTTTTTTTTATTTAAAAAGTTTTTATTCATTTTACATACCAACCACAGATCCCCCTCTCATCCCTCCTCCTGCTCCTCCCCCAATCTACGCCCCCTCCCCGTTCTACCCTGGATCCTCTCTTCCAAAAGGGTAAGGCCTCCTATGGGGACTCAGCAAAGCCTGGTACATTCAGTTGAGGCAGGACCAAGCCCCTATCCCCTTCATCAAGAGTGAGTGAGCAAGGTGTCCCACCACAGGTAGTGGGCTCCAGAAAGCCAGCTCATGCACCAGGGATAGATCCTGATCCCATTGCCAGGGGGCCCCTTAAGCAGACCAAGCTACACAATTGTCTTGCTTATGCAGAGGGCCTACTCAGCTGTAAAAAAAAAATCATATCATGAAATATCAGGCAAATGAATGGAACTAGAAAATATCCCAAGTGTGAGGTAACCCAGACTCAGAAAGACAAACATGGTATATACTCACTCATAAGTGGATATTAGATGTAAAGCAAAGGATAACCAGACTACAACCCACAGCTCCAGAGAAACTGGCTAACAAGGAGGACTCTAAAAGGGACACATGGATCACCTTGGGAAGGGGAGATCTCCATGAGTAAACTGGGGATGGGGGGGCAATAGAGGGGAGGGGATAGGAGATGAGAACATGAGGGAACAGGATGGTTGAGCTGGGGGAGGGACCAAGTGGGAGAGCAATGAAAGAGATATCTTGGTAGAGGGGGACATTATGGGGTAAGGAAGAAACTTGATGCTATGGAAATTCCCAGGAATCCACAAAGTCGACCCCAGCTTAGACTACTAGCAGCAGTAGTGGAGAGGGTGCCTGAACTGGCCTACCCCGGTAATCAGATTAGTGAGTACCCTAACTGCCATCATAGAGCCTTCATCCAGTAACTGATGGAAGCAGATGTAGAGATTCACAGCTAAGCACCAGGCTGAGCACCAGGAGTCCAGTTGAAGAGATAGAAGAAGGATTCTATGAGCAAGAGGGGTCAAGATCATGATGGGGAAACCTACAGAGACAACCGAATCAAGCTTGTAGGAACTCATGAACTTTAGACTGACAGCTGTGGAGCCTGCATGGGACTGGACTAGGCCCTCTGCATACGGGAGACAGTTGTGTAGCTTGGCCTGAGAGTTTCAGTTTTTGAATGGGGCTGGGAAGAGACTAGTGGAGAGTTCAGGGAGATTAGAATTATAAGTAGCACAAAAATGATAAGATTGATTCACTTATCTACTAGGCATAACAAGGCACATAAAAATGAAGTGGCTTAAAATTAAGAAAAAAGCAGGACTTCAATACATGCACTTTGCGGGACACAATTCTTATGCCTATGAAAAAGGGGGTACAGATGTTCTTCAGAATCTTCTCTTTACAAGGGAACTAACATAAAACTAAAAGTCTGATAAGCACAGCATCTTTGTCAAGACATCATATGAGCAAAGACTACTACCACCATCAGACCGGGCCAAGAAGGAAGGCCTCTTCTACTCACAATGGGTGCTATACTGGTGCCAAACCTCTACTCTGCTCTTCCCATTGCTCCTTCTGGAACAAGTACCTGAAAAGCCAAAGTGCCATTTTCTCGTTGGCATTTAGGATGCTGACTTAGAGCCTGTCAATTAGATGCACATATCAACTGTTGGAAGGAGGAGGAGGGAAGGGGAAGCAATGGCTGTGCCAGCTTTGCTGAAAAGGTCAACCTCAAACACTTCCCTTGATGTCAGTCATCATTAGCAGAAGTTGCACTGTCACTCACTAGTACTAGATGACTAACACACTTCCCCACAAACCACTGCCATTGTCTTATACACACTATGCAATCCTACCACATACCCGGAGATATTTTGTCAAAACTTATGGAGTCACTCTGGAGAGCAAATGTTTTCCCATTGCTTTGAAAGACACGTATCTGAGAACTAAGCTGAAGTTAATTATTGACAAGCAAAGAACACCTGCTTTTTAGATCCTTGGGTTTCACAAACTGTATGGTTTTTTTTTTTTAATGTACCCATTACTTGAGATACACAAAAACTCTAGGCAGATTTGGATAAGGACAAATTACTTGCATTCTGAGGAAATGTGTGTCTGGGCCTGAGGTATGTTATATCCATAACATATCCACCTGTTTCTCAAGAGCACATCTGGTGAGGGTCATGTCCAGGAGACCATTTTTCTCCCTAGCTTGTCAATATATTATTTACTCATTGTTTTAATTTTTAAAATACTGTACATAGCCCAAAGGGAGGAAACTTTTAGGTTTACATTCAAAATGTATAGAAATAGCAAAAAGGGCCTATGTAAACAACAGATGAGGTCATAAATAATTCACAGAACTTAGATATTCTTAAATTGTCAACAAACTGAAGCGTTGTGAAGCCATGAGCCAATTAAAAAGCATACGCTTCACTATACACATCATTTGTCTAGGTGTCATTGGAAAACGTAGCTTGGTAGACTTTTAATTTCTAGCATTGACACATAACATATACAACTTTGTATAATGATTCCAAATTATATAAACTAGAAGTTTTAAAGATATCCAGTGGCATTCCAGTATTAAGGAATTGTTAAGGAGAATTTGAGAATTCTACCACTTATCTAGGCTATGTGGTTGGATGTTACTGAAGGAGAAAGTCCTTCTGTTGCATCCATGCATTTGGTGTGGGAAAATCAGGACAGTGTCTTTCTTCCTGTTAACCATTAAAACATCCAGGGAGAGTAAGGCAAAAAGAGGTCAGTATGCTTAGGCTTAGCAACACACACACACACACACACACACACACACACACACATACACACACACACACACACACACACAGACACACCATGGTTGCTGAAATTGGAGATAATGTAACCCAGAGTGGCACACTCTGCCTAAACTAGCAGTAATGGGCAGTGTTATAAAATGTCAGGGGAGGGAGAGAATATTAAAAATTTTAAAAAGAAAATTGAAAAGTAAGCAGAATGACTAATCAGACGGTCGTTATTTATTAAAGTTTGGTTCCTTGTATGGCACCATAGTTGTCTGTCTTGTTTAAATCAGAGCCCCTGACTTATAAGAAATATGGAAGCTAGAAAATATGTTAGCATTAAATGACATATCACACAAGGAAGCAGCTGCTCAACTCCAGGATGGAGAATATCCTTCAGGACAAGTCCTCCTGTTTCTAGCAAACAACGGCCATAAATAACGCTCTAAAATAAAACACACTTAGCAGATAGAATGATCAAGGGATGTGAAATGGTCCTGTTTAGATTTTAACTTGACAAAACCTTTAAAACCTTTGAGATAAATGAGAGTCATATGACCTGGGTTTGGTGACATTTAGGAAGTATTCATTTTGTACGGTACATAACGACATCAGCTACATGAAGGTGCTTTTAAATGCTGCGTGTGTGGTAGACGCACATTCTAAGGGCTTTACAGAAGATGAAATAACATTTTATCTGGTATTTGTTTCAAAAAATCCATTTTACCCCTTATTTAAAATTCATTTTCTCTTAAGTATTTTTGAAAATTTCCATAATTAAAACAAACCTAGTCTGGATAAGCACTCCTGCTAAACTAATTTTATAAAATGTCAGCTGAATGTAGAAAGCTCAAGAGGTTTATGCAGCTTAGTTATTGTCCCCCATGAAGAGCAATGTCTCCTGACAGGGCTGGCCATAGCTGCTAATTTCTCTGCTTCCTATATAGTTCCCTCCTGTAGCTCCTGAGGGCTCCTTCTGACTGACAACCTCCACCCTAGACTGTCCCCACTGCCCATCTGACTCCACCCTAGACTGTCCCCACTGCCTCTGACTCCACCCTAGACTGTCCCCACTGCCCATCTGACTCCACCCTAGACTGTCCCCACTGCCTCTGACTCCACCCTAGACTGTCCCCATGCCCATCTGACTCCACCCTAGACTGCCCCCACTGCCCATCTGACTCCACCCTAGACTGTCCCCACTGCCTCTGACTCTACCCTAGACTGTCCCCACTGCCTCTGACTCCACCCTAGACAGTCCCCACTGCCTCTGACTCCACCCTAGACTGTCCCCACTGCCTCTGACTCCACCCTAGACTGTCCCCACTGCCTCTGACTCCACCCTAGACTGTCCCCACTGCCTCTGACTCCACCCTAGACTGTCCCCACTGCCCATCTGACTCCACCCTAGACGGTCCCCACTGCCTCTGACTCCACCCTAGACTGTCCCCACTGCCTGTCTGGGACAAGTACTGTCATCACTGGCATCATCACCTCACCCCATTTCAGTGGAGGAAATTAAGGCACAAGGAGATCAAAGGTCTGCCCCACATCACACAATGGCAAGACATTCAGATCTAGACAGCCAGTTTTCAGAGCCTGAGCTCTTGGCCAGGAATCTACGGTTAATTTTTATTTTATTTTCTTGATTATTGTGCTAAGAATCTGACCAGGCTTCAATTTTTAAGTCAGAAATGTATTTAACATTGTGTTGGTGAAGATACTTGAGCTCTGTGCTGTGGGTCCTGCTGCAGCATTGAAAACGCAATTCTTTGTGTTTTTTGTTTGTTTGTTTGTTTGTTTGAGACAGGGTTTCTCTGTGTAGTTTTGATGCCTGTCCTGGATCTTGCTCTGTAGACCAGGCTGGCCTCGAACTCATGTAGATCTGCCTGCCTCTGCCTCCTGAGTGCTGGGATTAAAGGCGTGCGCCACCACCGCCCGGCAATAAAGCAATTCTTTATCCCAAGAATCACTACTGAAAATTAAATGAGGTAGTATTCATAGAAGCAGCTGGCACATAGAATAACAGACAAAAATAGAAAAAAATCTTATTGTTAATAGCAGTGTGAAGACAAGACTTTCAGTTAAGTACTCCTGTACATTTATGAAACAAAGCTTTGTAAACTGTTTGGATTTACTATTCATAGGACAGATATGGGCTGAAATATGATGTACACAGTAAGCACCCAATACAAATGCATGATGCAAGTGTCTATCAGCAACAATTCCTTAGATGTGATTTAGCAAGCAATCTAACTTTAAAAAATGCTATGCCAGCCAGATATGGTAGTGCATGCCTTTAATCCCAGGGCTCGGGAGGCAGAGACTGGCCAGCCTACTGTACAGAGTGAGTTCTAGAGCTCCGAGCTCCAGAGCTACATAGTGAAACCCTGTCTCAAAAATAAAAAATTTAATACTTTTCTTATTTTTAAGACTATAATATAGGTATTAAATAGGCTTTTGTCCACTCCCACTCCCTTCTCAGGAAAGCAAGTTGCAGAATGAAGGGAGATAAGGTGCTCTATACAGCTGATGAAGAACTCATACCTAGCATGTTATAAGAATATCTATAAATGAAAAATGGTAGACGAGCTCTTCAAAACAGATATACAAACAACCAATATACATAAGTACTCAAGAACATACACATTAAAAGCACATGATAATAAGCATATCTGCCATAACTGCTAAAGATCAACAGTACCACATAAGGACAAGGACAAGGAGCCACAGCAAGAGGTTCACAAATGTCTACAGCCACTTTGGGATGTAGCCTGGAATAGGTCCTACACTTGGAAACACACATACTAATTCTACATTTATGAGATTTGAGGACATGTGCCTAGAGGAAATATACTAGAATGTTCACTACCACATTACTGCAAATAGCCCTCAGACCATCCAGCTGTCAATCAACAACATTCTGGAACAATAAACAACTATGGCATAATCATGTAACTACATGGAAATGAAAGTGAACAGACTATGGCTTAGTGGAACAACATGGATGGATGTCACAACACTATTCTAAAGAAAAGAGACAGAAACACAAACACAATGCTTTCTCTCGCATAAAGTTCAAAACTGAACAAAACTAAAACCTAGTTCTTACTGATGCATGCTTGGTAAAGACAAAGAATGATTGCTAGGAAGTCACAACAGTGGTTACCTCTCTGAATATATATTAAGGAAGGCGAGAGCAGGATGCTGCATTGGGTTACATGAACAATTTTTTAACAAGATATATGTGTATACTTTCTATGTGTGTATAATATGGCACAATAAAAACAGATTCTAAAATGTATGGGGGACAAAGCCAGAGGTAACTCTCCTCCCCTTAAACATTTTTAGAAAATATAAAAACTCAGAATCTGATTTCAAGTTGTGTCTTCTTCCCCTATTCTGCCAAGTCTGGGGTGTAGAAAATCCCCAAACAGCCATTTCTTCTACCCGTGTCTATCTGTGGGGAGCCAGGTATGCTGGTTTCCTCCTGAAGTTAATGCAGAGGCAGACACTGGTGAGGACTTTTCTCCTGCTGCAGGGTTCAGAGAAACCCACTCCTGACTCCACCTAGTGGGCAGCAGGCACCCAACGTCTACTGAACAGGACTGCCCCCTGATCAATCTGTCCAGGTGAACACTTCACAAAATTCTCTCTTTAATCTCCAGTAACCCAGCTCATGCATATCTAGATATGGATGAAACACATCAGAACAATTGTGTATCATATGAAATGCAATAATAACAAACGGCAGGGCAAACAGTTAAGTAATAGTAACAACAGAGAGCATTTGTGAGATGCTGTTCTGAGAAAAGTTCGTCATCTACTAAGGAATTCAGAGACCCTGGATGAGATGAAAGTACACCTTACCTGTTTTTGTGGTCTGGTTAGCTCCTGTGTGTAGTAGCATGGCTTATTTGTCATCTTTATGGGGAATCCACATATATGCGGCAGTTTAGATTTTAAATCTGAAAGAAAGCTTTTCAACACACCTTCCAAATCCACCCTTGGGAAGAACTGAATGGGCTGACTCCTGATGCAACTGAGAGGGTATCTGAGCGAAGTTAAAGAGCAACATGAAGGTTTCTGTGTATAGGACACATCAATTTTCATTTTTAAAAAGGCGACAATGTTGACAAGACATGGACAAGCAGATTCTGTTTTTAGGTTATATTCTATAGTTGTCAAAGCTAAATAGATAGCATCCCTTCATTTCTGCTATTTTAAGTTTATTTTTATTAACAAATTATGTGTGTGTGACATGACACAATCAAGGTGAATCACTGTGTCTTCATTTTGTAAACAGAATTGTGAGTAGATTACAATATTCCAGAAAAGAGTTATAAGAAATGTGCCATCCATCTCCTGTATAGAGTACAAGGACAAAATCAGTTAACAGTAAACTGCCCCCATCTTCAAAAGCAGTGAAAAACTCGGCACAGAGAAGACATGCCTTACTATTATGTTCCAGCTTCAAAAGCAGTCCTTCAAGGAAAGCAGGCACCTTTCCTAACGAGAAATCTTCTCAGCACTTGGGATAGGGTTGGCTATAGTGAAGGGAATTGCTGGCAGTGTTGATTGCAGGTTTATGTGCATTATCTGGGTTAAAAGAGAGCACAGACCACTGGCTCTTCCACATCTAAACCCCAGCCTGTCAGAATGATGAAAGCCGTGCTGATTTAGATTTAAGAGCTCCACCTAGGCACATGTGTCCTGTTTCTGTGTATATTTTTAAAGTAATATTAAGAAAGCTAGTTTCCTAACTCAATGCAGTGTGTTAAGTGGAAGTCAAATTTAAAAGCAAATCTTCCAAAAAGGAAGATCTCAGAAACTTCTAATTTAACCCTTCCAATAATGTCCAAACAACACTGGGGGGAGCTCTTGGCTAGGGAGAATCCTAGCATTGGTTTCTCATGTTCTACTAGGAAATACATGTACATATTTTCTCTATTCTGAACTTTCTTTTCTTGTCTAAATTTTGCAATAGTCTTTAAAGAAACATCCTTATATCCTGGGGTGGTGGTAATTCCAGCACCGAGGAAGCTGAGGCAGGAGGATGGCCAGTTCAAAGATAGCCTGGGTTACATATCAAGACCCTCCTTCCTGTCACCAAAGGGATTTCATATTAGAAGCAATTAAGATGTGATGGGTCTTTTGTTAAGAGATAAGAGGTTGGGAATGTAGCTCAGCTGGTAGACTTAATGTAATGCAGAGTCTTGCAGTAAGTGCTGGATTCAACCCTATCCTCAGCATAAACTGGATGTGCTGGAGTATGCCTGTAATAACAACACTTGAAAAGTAGACAGGAGCATCAGAAAGTCCAGAATAGCCCAGAATACACAGTGAGTTCCCAACCAGTCTGGTCTATATGAGATCTGTCTCAAAGACAGAACAAAAACACCCCAAACAAACAGCCACAAAAGTTCTTAGTAAAACTATCTTCCTAGCTAAATTAAAAACTGTGCAGGGGGGCTGGAGAGATGGCTCAGAGGTTAAGAGCACTGACTGCTCCTCCAGAGGTCCTGAGTTCAAGTCCCAGCAACCACATGGTGGCTCACAACCGTCTGTAATGAGATCTGGCACCCTCTTCTGTATACATAATAAATAAATAAATCTTTAAAAAAAAAAAACTGTGCAGGAAAAGTGGTTCCATTAATAATGACAGCATGGGGCGTGAGCAAGGCTGGCTCATAAGGCAGACAGAAAGTATCTGCCATCATTAGTGTGCAAAGGATACGTGAAGGTCCTTTCTTTGACCATTTTGAAATAGATGCTACAGTATATTTTCATATCTCCACAATCTTCTGGAAGTTTATAGCCATACTATAAATTAAGCACACAATATAAATCATTTTAGAGGAGGCTAGTCTTATGTTACATGGCAAGAAAGAAATCAAGTAACATTCAGTGTGATAGACATGTGCTTCCTACCAGGTCATCCCAGTGCCTCTGGAAATCTTTGAAGGAATGAAAGGGACAGTCAGGCGGTGCCGTATGAAGAAAATTTATTATCTGCCCCATTTTCATGCTATGAAAAATGAGATTTGATACAACATTATGCCAATGCTTAAATACAGCTAAATGTTGTTTGAGAAGTTAACTCTGCTTTAGAAGGTATTCCAAAAGACTTAGCAAGTATGGTACTACCCACATATAAATGACAAACTAATCACTTGTACCTAGTTACAAACTCAATTGCATTAAGTTTTTTGTCTTGACATGCAAATTTTAGATATATTTGGTATGCTTTGAAATACAAATAGGTTATGGAATGCCTTAATCAACTTAGCATATATATATATATATATATACACTATATATATTACTTCACATATGTACATGTTTTATGGTAAAAATACTTAAAATCTATTTGTAGTAATTTTCAAGAACAACAGCTTGTTGATATTCAGTATACTGTGTTGTACAACAGATTTTTTCAACTTATTCCTCCTGTCTGAGATTCTTTGTCATTGACCAACATCTCTCTACTGTAGTCCAAAGCTCCATCCTACCCCTGGTAACTGCTCTTTTACTGTTTTTATGAGTTCAACTTGTTAGATGCTACATATAAGATCACATAGGATTTGTCTAGCTTATTTTGCTTAATATAACATGTTTCAGGCTCATCATCCATATTGTCACACATGACAGGACTGCCTTCCTTGTAGGCCGAATTTTGTTCCATTGTGCACACATACCACCTCTTTATCTCTTTTACCTAGACGGAAACCTAGGTTGTATCCACATTTCAGCTCCTGTGAACAGTGCTGCAATGAATGTGAGTACAGAAATATCTTAGACATACTGATTTTATTTTCTTTGATATATAGGATTAATGATCATATGGTAATTCCATTTCTTCCCTTTTGAGAAATTTCCATATTGTTTTCTATAGTATTTGTACTAATTTACATTCTCATGAGCAGTATGTTGACATTCCCTTTATATGGGATACTTACATTTACTTTAAATTTAAGGATTTTATACATGACTACACTGTATTTCCATCCTTTCTATCCTTCCTCTTCCCCTCTCTCAACTCCTCTATCTTCCCAACCATCCTCTTTGAATTCACGACCTCTTCTATATTTGTTTGTTAAATATATATGTGTATATGTGTGTGTATGTGTGTTGCAGAATATTAGTTGAAGATTTGTTACATTCATTTATGCTGTGTAATATTTGTTTAATGATGCAAAGATATGTTGTATTCTTTTATGTTGCATTTGTTTAACTCTGTGAAGCTGTGTTACTATACCTGCCTAAAACAACTGGTCTAACAAAGAACTGAATGGCCAATAGCTAGGCAGGAGAGAGAAATAGGCAGGTCTGGCAGGTAGAGAGAATAAAGAGAGCGGAGCAAGAAAAGGAGGAGAGGAGGATGCCAGGGGCCAGTCACTGAGCCAAAAAGCCAGACACAGAATAAGAAGGAAAGAAGATATACAGAAACAGAAAAAAAGGTAAAATCCCAGAGGCAAAAGGTAGACAGAAGAGTTTAAGTTAAGAAAAGCTGGTTAGAAATAAGCCAAGCTAAGGCCAGGCATTCATAAGCAAGAGTAAGTCTCAGTGTATTTATTTGGGAGCTGGGTGGTAGGCCCCCAAAGTGTAAAAGATTAAAAAAAAACTAACTACGTGTGTGTGTGTGTGTGTGTGTGTGTGTGTGTGTGTGTGTGTGGGTGTGGGTGTAAATTACTTGATGGACACCTAGGCTGCTTCCATTCTCTAGCTCTTGTGAATAGAGTGGTACTGAACTTTGCTGCCCCACTGTGACTTCCACAACATGATGCTTGGAACCCTCTAAAACTCTAAGCCCAGAAAAGCCCTCCCTCCCTTAAGTTTCCTCTTCAGATACTGTGGTCACAGTGGTGCAAAAGTAGCCATTACACCAGCTTTACATTCCAACCTAATATCTTACCTGGGCAGAATGTAGCACCAGTTGCTTAAGATGGAATGTCTCTCAATGACAGCGTTCTGGTTAGCATGAAAATCCTCTATAATATGCTGAGAAATATCAAACTCCTCTAGCTTTTAAATGAAATGAGATTTCAACATATAAGTCCTCAAGGAATTTGCCACATAAAAAGAAGCATTACAACAACACACACTGACAGTGGTTTATGAATACATCAGTGAGTTGTGTCTTTTTGAATCATGACCTAATCAGTGTTGTGACACATCCTGTCTCTCCACTGCACAGTGCACCAAACAGGCTAAGCTTTCCTTTCATCTTCCAAGCCCAAGTGTTTATTTTATGCTTAATTCAATCAATTTTTATTATGTCAACTTAGAGAAGTCAAATCCCTTCTAAAGGAAAGTATATTTTGTGTGTATCTGTGTGCACATGCTTGTACATGTGGACGTGTGTGAGTGGGAGTCATTCCTTGGGAATGCATTCCTTTTTGTTTTTTGAGACAGGGTCTCACTGGTCTGGAACTCTCAAGTATTCCAGCCAGCAAGGCCTCGGGTTTGCTTGTCACTGTCACCCCAGTGCTGGCGTTACAAATGTGCACCACAATGCCTGATTTTTAATGTGGGATCTGGCAGATCAAGCTCAGCAAACACTTTACTAGATTAGGGTATCTTTCCAGCCCTAGATTACACTTTTAAAAGACAGTTTCTGACAGAGCCAGGGTCACACTCTCCTTTGAAATCCCCATTCCATTTTCTAGAATGCTTTCTTCCTGTTCCTCAGATATCCTACCCAGACAGGATTCCAGCCTCTATGTAGACGATAAGGTTCAGCCACCCTGGGAAGTCCTGTAAGATATTTTCTCAAATTCAGACAGACACAGAGAGGCCTCAAGTGAAAATAAAGTATTAGTGGGTAAATGAACACTAAGGCTAGAGAGACTGTGTCACAACCCCACACATGTCATCAAAGTAACTCTGGGGAGAAACGTTCTCACTTCGGTCACTGCCCACTTCTATCAAGAACCTTGAGCTGACACAGCCAACACTGGATCGTCTGGACAAGTCATTAGCATATTAGTGATGCTGTTTAAAGCATGACTCGTGTTTTGATATTTTAACTCCTACCAGTAAAAGCCTTAAATATCTAAGTTTACACCCATTTATTCTAATATCACTTTTCTGAATTCCTATATCATTCCTTAAGACCAATAAAAAGTTCCACCCCTTCCCATGGAGCCATGGGCAATTGTTAACTACTGGGAAAGTAAGGGTCAATTTTCACTAAGAGTGTAGCCCCTAATAAGTTGAGCACACTTGAGTGGAAAACCACACATTCATGAATATTTGGAAAGCATAAATTGTTCTTGAAGGGCTTTTTAAAGGACAAAAATTTGGGTGGATCTGGGAAGACTTGGTGGAAGTGAATATAATTAAAATGTTATACAAAACTTGAAGCTCTCAAAGAACGTCTTCAAAGGTAGTAACAGAAAAAAGGGACCAGAGGAAATAAGGAAAATGTCAATATTGGAAGAGATGATAAAATATGCTAGGGACATACATTAGTGTTATAGTTCTTGTGTGGCAAATGAAAGATCCCAGGTTCTATCTTTAGCATGAGAAGAAGGGTGAAAAAAATAGTAAGAGCAACAAGACTCTGAACTGAGAAGGACACAGAATGTCCCATGCAGGACAGAGGTAACTCTTAAAAACATATTTACTTTTTTTTTTTTTTTACTTATGTGTGTGTATGTAAGGGAGTTGATTGCCCAGGGAGGCCAGAAGAGGGTGTAGATGCCCTACAGCTGGGATTATAGGTGGTTGTGAGCCACCTGATATGGGTTCTGAGAATCATTCAGTTCTCTGGAAGACAATATATATATATGCTTAGCTTCTGAATCATCTCTTTAGCCTCAAGAGGTAAATATTATGATGTGATATACTGTTCTTGAGAAATCTGCTACCTAAGCTATACTATCAAAAAGGAAGTTAGGAAGAAGGAAAGAAAGAAGAAAAGAATAAGTAAACAAAGATGACCGTGGCAGGCAGTCATGAATGTCACCATATACTGGCATCAGGTAGAATGACTAGCTTGAGAGAAAACAGAATCTAAACAGAATTCTAAAGGCAGGCATTAAAGTAAAATGTTCAGAATTTGTGGGTTCTCACATATACCTACTGTGTAGCTTAAGTACAGATCAGCACTATTCAGAGGCTCAAATCAATTGCTGCAGGGATGTCCACAACACCAGTACTTGTCAACACAGATTATTCTGAACACTATGAAACTACTCAACTATTAACATACATCTCAAGAGAATGCTAACTCTGTATTTATTCACTTTGGAATTTTTTTTCAAGACAGGGTTTCTCTGTGTAGCTTTGAGGCTTTCCTGGAACTCACTCTGTAGCCCAGGCTGGCCTTGAACTCACAGAGATCGGCCTGGCTCTGCCTCCCGAGTACTGGGATTAAAAGCATGCGCCATCACCACCTGGCTACTTCGGAAATATTTTAAAGTATCCCTATGCATCTAAAACCAAAGTGATGAGAAGGTACTTAATAAATAAATATTTCTTCTACCTTATAACAACAATCTAAAGAATTTGGACTTAGTTTTCTAAGCAATGTTGAGATCTTAAAGATATTTAGGTAGGGAAGCTTTGATTTAGAAACAGAAATTTATTGACACTGTGAAGAAGTAGAGGTCAAACCAAAAGAGGCAAGATTGGAAACAAGGCCTATGTGGAGATCAGTTGAATGGTAGAGGCAAAAGAACAGGTCTCAATCAGAATAATGGAAGTGAAGAGGAGGTCATTATGGAGACCAAAACAGGAACCAATTAGATAGTGGAAGTGAGAAAGTACCAAAGAACAATGAAGTCTCCATTGTTCAGAATCTCCAAAAGTTATTGTCTTTTGATGGCAAAATAGTAAACGCAAAGGTAGGGCAGATTTGCGCTGGGGAGGGTGACACACATTCACTTGTAGATCATCAAGTCTGGGTGTGCGATGGTTTAAATGAGAATGTCCCCATAAACTCAGATGTTAGGGGTGTGGCTCTGCTGGAGGAAGTCTGTCACTGAGGGTGGCCTTGGACATTTCCACTTGGCTCTCTTCTTTGTGCTTGTGCTTCAGTCTGTGAACTGTATGCTTTCTGCTCTAGCTGTCATGCCTGCCACCAGCTACTCCTGCTGTGGAAAGCAGATGAAGTCTTGAGTGAATGTATGTTGTTAACATGGGCATGGGCATGCTAAGGACTCCAATTCCTTAGGCATAGGTGGTGGCAAACCTTTGCTGGGTGAGGCTCAGAGGCAGGTCAGAGCCTTCATTTAGTCCAAGTATAAGTGTTTACGAAAAATTGACCTGTGTAGGCAGGAACTAACTAACAACTACAACTTTCTCCTCTGAGATGAGTGCAGCCTGAAATTGGTCCCTTACAGAAAACTCCTACTGAGATTAGCTAAACCTGCCTCCTTGATCCAGATGTATAAAATAAGTTGAGCTTCGGGGTCACAGTTGGTACCAGTTGGTACCCTGCACCAGAGTGAGTGCAGCCTATATGACCCCATCTTAGCTTTTCTGTACATGTGTCTGTGTGTTTGTCTTTTCTTCTTTCTCTCATCACTCCAGTTGGTCAATTCCTGAAGCTGTGCAGGGTGCTGCACTTTGCTCTGCCATCATGGACTTTAAACTTCTGGAACCATAAGCGCAAATAAACTCTTCTATAAGATGCCTTGGTCAAGATGTTGTGTCACAGCGATAGGAAAGTAAGTGACATAGGATGTTGTCAGTACATGCATGAGAGGGGGTCTAAAAGGACACAATCACAACTACACAAGAACATGTAAAAGGTATTAATTAGTGTGTAGGTTGAAAAATTTTGAAACCTAGAAAACAGTGATATCCAAGTGGCAACATATAAAAAAAAAAACCATGGATCAATGGTATTGGACTTTTGAGAAAGTAGTTTCAGAGAAATCAAGGAAAGAGATGAGGCTTTAAGAACTAAATGGTACAAAATAGTGTACATGTTCCAGTGATATCAAATACTAATTTCCTCAGACTCTCCCTTCCATCTGGGTCCTAAATTAATACAGCTCTTATCAAACTCTACCATATAGCCAAGCAATGTTATTTAACCACTGTTTTTATTCAATAGATATCACAGATATTAGGTATTTGTGGTGGTTTGAATAAAAATGGTCCCCAGAGGCTCATATATTTGAATGCCTTGTCACCAGGGAGTGGAACTCTTTGATAGGATTACAGGGATTAGGAAGTGTGGTCTTGTAGGAGGAAGTCTGTCACTGTAGGTAAGCTTCGAGGTTTCAAAAGTCTATGTCAGGCCCAGTCTCTCTCTCTCTCTCTCTCTCTCTCTCTCTCTCTCTCTCTCTCTCTCTCTCTCTCTCTCTGTCTCTCTCTCTCTCTGTCTCTCTCTCCTTGTGTATCAGGATGTAGTTCTCAGCTACTTCTCCAACACCATGCCTGCCTGCTGCCATGCTCCCTTCTACCATGTTCCCTGCCAAGATGATAATGAAATAAGCCTATAAAACTGTAAGTAAGCCCCAATTAAATGCTTTCTTTTTTAAGAGTTGTCTTGGTCATGGTGTTTTTTCATAGCAACAGAACAGTGACTAAGACACTATCTAATTATACCAAAAGACACACAAATGTAACCAAGTAAGCTAAGGCTAAGTAGAGAAAGAACAATGAAGCAGAACAGTGTTGAAAGAAAAACTCTGAATCTTGACCAACTACCTTTGAGTACAACAATTATTTCACCTGTCTCAATTCACTTAGTTATAACAATAACTACCACTTTGAACTTCCATTGTATATCATGTGCCATAGGAACCATTTGATGTACTTTACCCCATTCACTGCATCAACTCTCCATGAGCTAGATACCATTAGCTCCAATTTACACAAAAATCTGAGGTTAAGAGAAATTAAGTAGAATGTTCAAAGTGGCACTGTTATTAAATGAAGATTTGTGAATTGTGATGAGATTCTAAGCCAACTCTGAATGTTTTAGGTGTGCAAATATTAATAAGTATTTTCTAAGTGTCCTCATCTTTATGCTGATTTTGTCTGACTTTGACAGAATCTTTGGGAGAAAACACTTTGCACATGTACATAATGATACCCAATAGACAGCTGTCTGTAGAATAAACACAAATTTGTTTCCAGTTGCTTATTTTCTATATAACTAAAATTTCAGGGCAACAGTTTAATATTACATAATACTTTTCTAAAACATATCCCTCAGGTAGTTATGGATTCAATTATAATCTGAATATATCAACTTGTAGCAGTTTACACATATAAGTTTCTATCTAGACACTTATATGAGTGTTAGTTTGAATGTAATTGGCCCTGTAATCTCATAGGGAGTGGCACTATTAGGAGGTGTGGCTTTGTTGGAGTTGGTATGGCCTTGTTGGAGGAAGTGTGTCACTGTGGGGGTGGGCTTTGAGGTTTCCAATGCTCAAGATACTGCCCAGTATCTCAGTCCATTTCCTGTTTCTTGCAAGATGTAGGAGTCTGTTCCAGTACCACATCTGCCTGCATGCCTCCATGCTCCGCATCATGATGATAATGGACTGAACCTCTGAAAGGGTAAGTGAGCCACCTCAATTACATGTTTTCCTTATAAGAGTTGCTGTGGTCACAGTGTCTTTTCACAGCAATTAGAAACACAAAGACAATAAGTTTTAGGAAAATAGTATAGTTTAACACAGTCTAAAATTGGAAAAATTACTATTATTGAGAAAACATGTGGCTTTTTTAAATATAAAAATAAGGGCTGAAATACCATTTCTTATAACGATAAACTATCTTAAAAAGTTATCTAAATAAGGTCAAAGATCAAAGTTTAGAAAACTACTAGAATTTCTACCTTAGAAGAATAGACTTTAGATACTAAAGTTATCTAATTCAAGTTAGAAGCTAGTCTTTCATGCTGCTCAAGTTTCAATTAATAACAATTTTACTATATTGAGTGACAGGTGTTATATAACTTCTATGAAAGAAAAGTTAGAAAGACACAGACCCTTTCCTTTAAAACTCAGCATAATGATACACTTGTATAAACAACAGTATGAACAAAGAGAGATGAACTTTGAGAGTTCTGAAGTCTTCACAGGTGGTAATGAAGAGTTATGTCATGAAAGATGAGTCAAGAGAACAAGTATTGAGAGCTTAGAAGACAGTTTGAGCCAGGACTTGAAAGAATGGAGGACTATCCTGCCTTGGAGAAACAATTAACTTTGGCTATTGGGAAGAGGAGTGATGGTAGATAAGGCCACATATAAGGAAAGATTGGATCAATTTGATGAGGACCTCATCCATCACATGAAGCAGATAAGATTTCATTACATAGTCAATGGAGAACATAACAAATTTATAACAAGGGGAAGAGATGTACACCAGACAACTGGAGTGGGGAGTGGCACCTAGCAGCAACATCTGTCACCCCACTAATTACCAGTGTTGATTAGGCTGATAAAGTTGGCTGGGCAGGTGTCCCCTTCCTCCCTCACCATTTAATGCATGGCTCTCCTAAAGCTTTACGCTAGGTAAACATAATGTATGTAATGTATGGTAAATGAAATGGTCTGAGTAGCTGCACTCCCCTAGTAGAACCTCCAAACACGCTCTTAACCTCAGCACTAGTGACACTTTGGGTCAGATAATCCTTTGCTGGGGTAGTGGCAGGTTTTTTATTCTGTATAGGGTAAAACATTCAGAAGCATTCCTTGTTCCTGCCTGCTGGATGCTAGTAGTAAAATCATACCCTCCTTCCCTATACCCTGGAAACCAAAAAACAGCCTCTAGACATTGCCAAATGTTTCGTGGAAAGCAAAAACATTCATTTCCTCCTTCGTCTTTCTCTGTCCCTGAGGAACCAATTGCACCCGATAAAGGAAACAACATGTACCGAGTGACTAATAACATGTAAAGCTCTATGCCAGATGCTATGGGAATTAGTAAAATAGAAGACAAAGACAGAAAGCATGTTGTATAAAAAATAGATGAAAAAATGCTACGAGAATGTCAAGAGTAGAAGACAAGCATATTTACCATGAGATGAAACTATATTTTTAAAATTTGGAGGTGAAAAAGCAGAAGAAATTGGCACCAAGGCAAGATAAGGTAGTGACATTTTGGGTGTGTCTAATGATATTTTTGACAGGAATAAAATGATAAAAACCCATGTTAAATGAGAATGATATTGGGGGAATTTAGAAAACATAGACATGTCAAGCACTTAGCAGCATACATTTTATTTATTTTTTTAAAGCTGGGCATGGTGCAGTGTGCCTACAATTCTGGTACTCAGGAGGCTGAGGTAGGAGGATAGCTACAAGTTCAAGGCCAGCCTGGCAGACACCAACTGGTAGCCAGCCTGAGCTATGAACTGAGACTCTGTTTCAAAACCACCATAACCAAACAAACAAATAATAACAACAAACAACTACTAAGTCCTTTTAAATGTTAGCACAAAATAATGGGCTTCATTAAGACATTTAATTTAAGTTTCTATTTGTACTTTGTCCATAGTTGCCTCATTGGTCTCTCTCGTTTACCCTGCACTCCTGCTATTTCTTCCCTTCCTTTTCCCTCCAAACAGTCCCCTTCTGTTTTCATATATGTGTGTATGTGAGTATATCCTACATACTCGAGAAAACATTGCAAGTGTCGTGGTAACAAAACCCCTCCTATCAGCTTCCATGTTAAAAATTAAAATTAAATAGTAATAATAACATGCATATATAGTAAATACAGGAGCTTACAGAAATAAAATATTTTGTACCTCAGGTGGTGGCAATCTGACTGTATAGACTTCAATACTTAGACAAACTTGTGTTTCTGTTACGTTGATGTCTAATACTGAAAAAGAATTAAACATGAATTTTCTAGAATTAGTATTCTATCATATCAAATGAAGCATTTTAGTAGCATATATTACTTTATCCAACTTTTACATTCAGAACAGTTTATTACACTTATAATAAATTTCAAATAATGAACCACAGATTTTGCAGTCTACAAATTACACTTCTAAGACAAAGCATATGTGTGGGGAGGAGGTGCTACAAGAGGATGACACTAAGAAAGATACTTCTTCAGTGCTGTGGATATGGTTCTGTATAAATAAAACACTGATTGGTCAGTGGCCAGAAAGGAAGTAGGTGGGATAAGGAGAGAGGAGAATTCTGGGAAATGGAAGGCTGAGAGGGAGAGACACTGCCAGCTGCCACCATGACAAGCAGCATGTGAAGATGCCGGTAAGCCATGAGCCATGTGGCAAGGTATAGATTTATGGAAATGGATTAATTTAAGCTATAAGAACAGTTAGCAAGAAGCCTGCCACGGCCATACAGTTTGTAACCAATATAAGTCTCTGTGTTTACTTGGTTGGGTCTGAGCGTCTGTGGAAATGGCGGGTGACAGAGATTTGTCCTGACTGTGGGCCAGGCAGGAAAACTCAGGCTACACTTCAGCTTATAGTACACTCAATAAATACTTTCTGCAAATCTGACATGTATTACTAAATTCCACTGTGGTCTCACACCAGGCTTCTGACCTGATAGTCATTTACTAAGCCTCCTCCTAAATAAAGCTATGCTGACATGGCAGAGTCATGGGGACCTTGGAAGCAGATAGTATCTGAAGAGGCTTTGGGAGCTTCAGGGATGCTGACAATACTATTTCCTGAGCAGAAGATCAGTTATGAGGCTGCACTGACTTTGTAAAACTTTAGTGACTATCCACTAGAATGTCTGAGTTTTTACCTAAGTATTTACATTTAAACAAAAGTAAAAACAGTCTTCTAGCAGGAGCCCAAGAAATTTGCTCTTCTAAATTGATATCTTGACTCTCTAGCTAAGGTCTCATGCTAGCGTAATGAAGCTAAATTTAGGTAACAAACTCACTCATCCAGCGTGAGGTCAGAGCAACTGTCTAACCGAAAGCCAGAACTAGTGCCAGGCAGGAAGCACAGTTCAGCAGGACAGTCCCTCAGCTCCAGTCATTGTGGACTATGAGGATGTGAAACTATGCTCAAATGATGGGGGAACCTGCCATGTCTGATTAGTAAAGCCTACTGGACACTTATGATCCCCATCCATCTGCTCCCTCGGCACTGCTCTCTAGGAACCTACCAACCTTCAGCGCAATACGCAGAGCAATCAATTGGATTGGATGTTAAAATAAGGTCTATTTTTTCAGGAGAGAAATAATATTCTAACAAAAATAAGTTTTGACATAATTAATACAATTTTTGATAATATGATTTTGGAAAATATATTAAAATACTTGCAGAATTAAACATCTTCATAATCATTTTCTTAAGTAGGGAAACTAAAATATACCTTTCCTCCCAATTAAGTGAATTTTTTTCTCAAGTAGGTAAATATATATTTTTAATGAGAAATAACTTCCTAGGTAAATTCTGATTATAATTATGTCTTATTATCTCCTTGCATATGGTAATCATCAAGATTGTAACAACTCAACATTGGTTTTTAAACAACTGTTAGTCATATTAATGCTTTGTTTATTGCTTTATGTGTTTTTACTTACCAACAGCATTTTGTTTTCCCATATGAGAAAGAAAATTTCTTCCTTAAAAAATTCACAGGAAATACTGTATTATTATAATTCAGAAATAATCATTACTGACAAATATAACCAATTGAAGTGCTATGAAAATTGTAAAACAAATATCTAATGACAGCTCTTAGAAAAAATATAATCACTCAAAAAGTATCTGTTCCTTGAAAAGGACCAAAATGCTCAATTCTTCCTTCAAAAATTTATCTCTTGCTATAAAGTACTTAGAAAAGCATCAAACTTTAGCAATAATTCAAGATAGCTCTTTGGGTCCAACAATACTGACAATTTGTGTTTATTTTATCAAATCCTTTATTTATTTATTTATTTTAAGTAGCAAGCATTACAATAATAAAATCATTTCAAAGCAGCATCAACAGACCTCTATATATTATCCCCATGTAAGGAGATGACAGTGGTGTTAGTGTGGGCTTGTCTGAGAATGTTTAGAGTTGGAGCTACAACTCTTCTCTAAAAGTAAGGTACATTGAAATCAAACCCAGATGTATATATAGAAGCAATCTAGTTCAAAGTCCCAATGACTGGCACACAAAGTCACCTTGTACCAAGAGATGACCTGCTCTATTCCAGGCTGGAGCAAGTCTAGCAGTGAGTGAATACGAAAGGCAGTTTTGAAGAATTACAGGAATTACTCTCTGTGGAGCCTCCATCTAAAACATTAAAGAAAAGATGGGCAAGTTAAGAGCAATTGCTACATGTCTATAAACTCAGATACTGTCTGCAGTCTCAGATCAACATCCAATAAACTAAGCAATTCTAGATAAAGATTGTAGCTGCTCCTGTAACTGGTACTATCTAGTTATAAGGTGAAAGAATTTAAGGGTTCTCATTGTGAAGCCGCCATTGCGGCAATGCTGCGTGCTCAAATTTCCTGCTTATGCTTAAGCCTAAACCGTACTGAGTCTTCAACCATGTAGCCCGCTCCACACAGAGGAACTCAAGCAAGAATGATACTATGGTTTGTTCATTTTGTTCCCTGTAGTTTAACATTTAGAAATGGCTAATTACAAAATCACACATGCAACAAAGTACATATCTAGGTATACAGAGTTAATATTTAATATTAAAGCTTTCATTGCTGACTCCCAAGTAATTGAAATTGGATTTATTTCTCCCACTTGAAGTCTGTAAAAAAAAAACCTGGGCAAGTTATTTGAAACAGTGGTTCATGAAATACTGGACATTGTGGAACAAAGAAGAGTTATTTTCTATAGATGAAAAGCCAACAAGATGAGCCCTGGGAAATCACAGAGCCCACCTTGTTGGCTTTTCCTCTATAGAGGATAACATTTCCCTGGTTTATTGTATAAAAAGAGGGTTTCCAGGCTGTGGTCATGGAAGAGGCAATCTAGAGAGACTCTTTTCCTCTCTGTGAATTGAAGAGACAGAGCTGAGAGTCCACAGGAAGACCAAGAAGCTAGAAGGTGCTTGAGAGGACAACACTGCAGAGAACAGACTGCAGGCCAGCAGAGTCTGGGAGTTTTCTGCTGAGCAAGGACTAACACACACGTCAGGAAACTGCTGAAGGTTAGAATGAAAACCAAGTTCGTTTGCTTTATTTATAAGCATTGAATACAATCCAGAAAAATCTGCCCTGGAATCTGTAAGAAAGACAAGCAGAAAAGTGAGAGAGCCAAGAATTGTTTCTCAGTATTAATTGCTGGGATATCCACACTTTTAGGTAGAGATTTTGATACCCTGATTGCAATCATTGACACAAGCAAACAGAAAACAAGAATGTAGTAGATTTATCATGATCATCCAATGAGACCAATTTAACATTTATAGGATACTGAATACTATGGTAAGACCAGAATACATATTCTTGTTAAGATGACAAGGGACATTTACTAAATCTATAGTAGTTTATACTCTGGACCCTAAAAAACACAATATTTTTTAAAAATTAAAGCTTTATGAAACATATTTCTAAATAATAATTGAATGAGGAAGCAGCAGCAGAAAGACCCCTGGGAAGCCCCCATTTGGAAACCACACAACCTATTTGTAACAGGTGTTAGGAAGTTAAAGGAGACAACTACTTAGAGAACATGTCTAACACTGAATGTATCTGTACTAGAAAGGAATGAAGTTCTTAACTCAGAGACTCAGTCATCATTTTAAGGAACTAGAAAAAGGAAGATAAAACCAACCAAACTAAGTAGAAGAGAACTATAGACCAAAGGTAGGGGGATGGAATCAATGGAATACAATGTGGTAAAACAATAGAGAAAATCAATGAAATCAAATCCCTCCTCCTTGAGCCTATTAATGATTGTCAACTCTCTAGACAGACTGATCAGAGTAAGAAAAAGAAAAGAATCAAAAAGATCACACACATAATCAATATTAGAAAACAGAATGGATATATTGCTTCAGATTTTATAACAAAGGAAAATAAGAGAATACCAAAGCAACTGTATTAAAACAAATTTGAGAGTTTAAATGCAAAGGACATAATCCTTGAAATAACTTAATAGCTCTACTTCCTGTTAAAGTAAAATCATAGCTAAGCTTTTTCAAAATCTAAGTTCCAGATAGCCCTATGGATGAGTTTCATAGAACACTTAGGGAAGAAATAGCAAAATCAGACATGACTTTCTCCAAAGAAGTGGTTTCTAAAGGGAGGGGATATTTATTTCGTTCAATTCCTGATGGTAGGAATGTTAACTGATCCATTACTATAACGATTAATCTTAATTGTCAAGTTGATTGATTTGAGAAGTGCCTCAGAAATTAGTAAAACAGGCTTCTGGGTGTGTCTGAAGATTTCCAAAGAGGGCTGAGGGATAGGACCCAGTCCGAATGTGGCAGTACCATCCTCACAGGCTGGAGCTGAGGCTAGGTTGAACTAAAAGAGAAAGAAGAAAGCCTGAGAGTGCAGACTCTCTCTCTCTCTCTCTCTCTCTCTCTCTCTCTCTCTCTCTCTCTCTCTCTCTCTCAATCTCTCTCTCAATCTCTCTCTCTCTCTCCCTCTTTCCCACCTGGGTGACATAGGTGAGCTGTTCTTCTCAGCTACACCTTCCAACCACAAAGTGAACCCCCACACCAACTTTTTCCCTTTAAAGAAGCTCACTATTAGAATACAGAATATAGTTTATAATCTTGTTTCTCTATATATTAGCTATATAATTATGGAAATAATTCCATCTCTCAGGATTTCATTTTTTTTCCTCTGTAAAAATGGAGAAAAACCATTAATTCCCCTCTCTGTGTCCTTAAATAATTATTTGGAAGAATCTTGAGTTCTTTTTCCATCTGTAACAATAACTTGTGAGAAAGATAGCCAAATTTTGTTTGTTGACTATGCTGGTTAGATTTTGGTTACTTATTTATTTATTTTTGGCAACTCTACACAAACTAAGGTCATCTGCAAAGAGGGAACCTCAACTGAGAAAATGCCTCCATCAGATTGGCCTCTGGCAAGTCTGCAAATTGAGTGAGCCATGTTGCAGGCCTGTAAGCAGAGCTCCTCTGTGGTCTGTGCTTCAGTTCCTGCCACCAAGTTCCTGCCTTGAGTGCCTGCCCTGGTGTCCTGGGATGATGCACTGTGATATGGAAGAATGAGCCAACAAACACTTTTCTCCCCTAAGTTACTCTTTAGTCATGGTGTTTTATCACAACAACAGAAAACACACCAGGACACTGACAAAAGAAGTAGAATATATATTATTCTACAATATTACATCTATATTATTATCTTAAACACATACCTTAGCTCCGTATTTTTCAATATAGGCATTAAGTCTCCCAGATTTAAAAAATGGTATCTATAACAGAAAGTCTACATTTGTAAAAAGGACTTAACATAGATATATATAACAAAACATTGTCATACATGAATATTTTAAGTAAAATACAACAGAGGGCACAGATTTCAGCTATTGTTCTATATTTCTATTCTATATTCATTTGAAGAAAGATACTATGATAACCACTTTTTCCCTGCAAGAGGATCTGTGACAGGTACATTGTCAAGGTGAAGTTGCTTGATATTGACATGTTCTCCAAGCCATACAAAAGGCAAATAAATTTCATATAAGTACTTGACAGCTTTTAAATATACAAGACATACTTAGACATGAATATGGAAAATGAACCTAAAAAGAAGTTTAAATTTAAAAGGCTTCAACCTATTAATGAAAGAAATATACGTATTAAAAGACTAGTAGATATTATTTTGCTAGACGGGCATGGCATCAAATTGTTATCTAAATATATAACTATGCCAATAGATTATACAGCTCTCAGTCCTCACCAGAGGAACTTCTTTATGCAGTAGATGGTGATTAATACAGAGACTCATAGCTAGTCTGTGTGTGGAGAATGAATGGTTATGAGCTCTCAGTCCTAAATAGGATAACTATGTCATACTCCCTACCCTGCCCCCTCAGGCTCATAGGGCATCATGGAAGGAACAGATTGTAAGAGCCAGAGGTCAGAGAGGACTGCTGTGAAATAGTTTCTTCCAGATGTGACTGGGCCATTGCACTCAACTTCACAGCAGTTGTGGTGGCCTGCACAGAATCAAGACAATCAACATTTCAGCATGTATGAGGGAGGGACATACAAGACCCCACATTTAGCTGAAAAGCTACTCAGAGTTAATGGCTACTAGGGAAGGGAAAATCTGTTTTCTTTAGGGGTGTGGTCCCTGTTAGGGTGAGTATTGTAGTAGATGGCCCTACCACCATGCATGTATGCTCTAATTAGAGTCAGTAGATTATTTTTTTTAAGAAAGAGGATATGAAGTTGGGAGTAGGAAAGAGGTTTAAATGGAAGAATTTGTGGGGGGGGTGAGTGGAGGGAGAATGTGATGGAAATAAATTATACACATGTATGAAATTCTCAAAGAATAATAAAAATGTTGATTTACTGAAATGAGAAATTTAAGTATATCTAAAATGTTGACACAAGGCACTGAAGCCCATGCTATCTTACATATTGTACCATAACATGTTCTGTTCATTAGTGGTCTTTATTTCAGCATTTATATCAGATAAAGTTAAATATTAATTTAGAATCACAAGATAGATTTAAACATCAGGCATATTAAAGTTAATGGGACATTCATTCAAACTGAAATATGGGGTGGTTAGTCCTCATAAACCATCTTTAATTTCTGCTGCCATACTTGAATTATTGTTTATTAATATTGCTTCCAACAATCAGTGATACTAACCGACATCACTACCCAAATTTGGTTTAATATTCCAGGCACAGGTGCTGTAAGAATATCTTCATGCAGAAGGAGCAACTGCCTATGGAGAAGAAATACATTATTTTCAAATTGAGCTTGTCTACCATCTATACTTGTATGTTACTGAAATATCTAGAAACTTTGTCTAACATCTCACTTTTCTACCTATTTTGTTACTTTTCAGAGGGGTCAGAGGTAATTTGTAGTAAGTATAACTAGATGACACCCAAACAGGAAGGATACAGATTTCCTGATGTACTTGGGGATTTAAGATGGGGTGCACTCCAGACTGTCTTCCCCATTTCTGTCCTTAGCATTTTGTTTTGTTTTGCAACCATCTTACTGTATAGTTCAGGATGCCTCTAACTTGAGATGCTTGTTCCTCAGCCTCCAGACTGCTGACATTATGGGTATTCACCATTGCTCCTAGCAATCTTACAGGCTTCATTCTTCTCTGGGATAGTTATTTAAAGATATAATTTTGTTTTGAGTTCTTCTTTGAGTACCTCAAACAATTAAAGGAACTAATACAAGTGAGTCCTTAATACTCAGGCTTCAGTTGAGCTCTTCCTTAAAGATTATCTTGGGTTAGGAGTTGCAAGATAATTCTTAGAGAAATATTCTCCATTGTCATGTATTGATGTGAAAGTTCAGAAATTATATTAATCTTTTAGTATTTTCAAGTACCTTGTAAAGAGTATATAGTAAATATACATTACTTAATATATTTTGGGGGAGCCTGATTTAATTCATGAATTAAGTCTTACAGAGAATTAAAATTCATTTTTTATTTTATGTGTGTTGGTGTTTTGCCTGCATGTATGTCTGTGTGAGGGTGTTAGTCCCTGGAACTGGAGTCTCAGACAGTTGTGAGCTTCATATGGGTTCTGGAAATTGAACCCTGGTCCTCTGGAAGAGCATCCAGTGCTTTCAACCATCTTTCCAGCCCTGAAAATTCAAAATTTTTAAAGCACAAAAGAGGCCACAAATATAAAAGCCCAACAGTGAGATATTTACCTCAAGTATTTTAAGTCTTCTTTTAAATGTAATCTAACATACCTAGATTCTTTGTTTTCAAAATATATATACGGGTTTAGTAAGCGTTTTAAAGAAAATCCCTCTAAAATAGCTATAATGGGATTTTTAAAGTTGAAAGGCTTAGTTAGAAGACACGAGTTTTTACCTGCACATCTTTATCTGCATACTCCTAATCTCTATTTCTGCCACCCTGCTACTCAATATTATCTGGGTAGCACAGAGTTTGTGTAAATCTGGAAGTATGATAAAGAACAGGGACTGTTGCCTGGACTCATTCATATCCGCTTGACTATGTGTTCCAGCAACCAGACCTTCAAAAACAAACAGCTGTAAAAAGTACATAAAGTTTTAGCAATAAGGTTTCAATCCCAACTCACCAGATTCTATTTGATGTCATGTCAGAATACGAAAATAAAAATCAGTAAACTTTAGTCACAAACATATCACCATTTCACCTTCATGGTTTTCTAAATCACTTGTATTTAGACACATTTTATTAAGCTATTGTTCACCTATGATTATCCACCTAGACTAAAGTTCAATGCTTTTTTTTTTTACTATATTCATAGAATTATATACCTATTGATGGAATAAGTTAGAATACTTTCATCACCTCTCCCAAGATTCTAAATCTTCCGTTCTCCAACACAAATTGAATGGCTAATTTAAGTACAAATAATAATAATAATAATAATAATAATAATAATAATAATAATAATAACCCTAATTTATTAAATGCTTAAGTTTTTCTAGGTACTTGCTGTGTATTAGCCATATTGTGTTTAATAATGCATTCTACAGATGCTGACTCTCAAAGTTTTGTTTTCAGAAAAATGAAATCTTTCCTCTCACATAATTTAAAAATAAAAACGTGAAGCCAAGACCTGTACTATTTCCAATTCACTCTATAACCCACTTCAAGGTTAAAAAGAATATATAATTTTTTATTTTACATGAAAGAAAATGTTAGCCAAACTATGTAACTGTATAACCGTTAAGTAGATTTCATTTCCAAGAAATTACTTGGCTTTAAAACTTCTACTTGGGGGCACATTTTAAAATTGCTAATTCACATGCTGCCTTTGAAGTGTATATAGCACGAATTACAGAAAACTGGAATGTAAATGTAGAGCAGGCTAAGGAAGGTCAAGTACTCCAAGGTGCACTAATTCACCAGTGGGCGGTAACTTAACACAAGAATATCTTCCCTCTTGGAAAAGAAGCCACCAGCCCCTGACTCTGGAGCCTGGTTGGACTACAGTCTGGTCACAATAACCAAATGCCTTTGATTGTCGTCGGAGGGATGCGGGCTGCGACCTTTGGCGTGGTGAACAAATCCAGCTTCCTTACACCACGGTATCGGAAACTTTCCTGGGTGGTGGCCCAGTGCTGGGCTCACGGCTGCACCGACCCCTCGGTGAGCTCGCAATCGGTCCCCTTCTCTCCTTAGGCTCCACTTTCTCAGGGACAGCAATATCTCCAAAGCCTTTAAAAACAAAATTGAAAAGGTGACGCTGGAAACGTGCAAGGCTTTACAAACCGAGACGCCCGGGTTTTAAGAGAAGAGTCATCGTCTCCCGGCCGGAAGGCCAAGCCAATTCCACACCGGCACGCCGTGTTAACATGGGGTCCTCGGCGTGGCTCTCGGGGAGCAGCAGCGCCCGACCTTCCCGGGGCGGCCACGGAGGTCTGGCTGCACGGGCGATCCTGACCTCCTCCCTGGGCGGAGTCCTCTCACCTCGGTCCCTCAGCCGCCCAGTCAAGCCTCGCGCTCCATGGGAACCTGCTCGCCTCACACCCGCCTCCTGTCAAGTTCCCCGCTCGAACTCCCATCAGGCCCTGCGCGGGGCTCTCCGCTCCCCGGGACGTCCCAAGCGCCCTTGCGCTCCTAAGACCCTCCCACGTGCCTGTCAGTCAGGACCCTGGAAGCTCCAACCAGCCCCCTGCTCCCTGCAGGGTCCGCACTGGGGTCGGGAAGCCCATCAGCCTAGCCCCCCACTCGGCCCAGGCAGCACCCCACATCCCTGCCAGGCCCCGCGGAGGGCTCTCGTGGAGTCTCTGCCCCCAGAGGCCCTGTGCTTCTCAAGGCCTAATTATGGCCCCCGGCAGCTGCTTGAGGGCATGCATCCCCAGGGCTTTGCTTTCTTCCCAGAGAGCTTCAGTGCCTTCTGGGCACAGGGAGCAGTTTTCAGCATGGCGTTCTGTGGTCAACATGTCTGGAGTTGTTGGTCCCGTCATGCAATACATGCACTGGGTTCTGTCACCACCCCCGGCACTACCCGTGGGCTTTTCCTGACAAACTCAGAATTTGCTTAGTACCTCACCGGTCACCGGAATGCCTCAGAGCAGGTGGTTCCAGGGTCAGCGCCAAAGGGTGGCTGTGAAGCCGCAGGCCACACAGTTGGCGGAGATGAGTAAAGACTCCTTTGTGATGATGAAGCTCTACCACTGTAAGGTCTTAAAAAGCGTGTAACATGCTCCTCTTGCTCACTTGGCAGTGAGTTAGTTGGCACATACCACACTCAGGTGCTTTTCTGGGCGTTTGATGATGGAGAATCAAGCAAACAGTACTTTCTGCCGTAGCAGAACTTACTCAGAATAGGAAGAGCTAGTAATTCTGAAGTGAACTCATTCTTGTCAGACCCACAGAAAATGAGAGTTGGGAAGTGATGAGAGAGTTGTTGCCTCTCTGCGATAAGTTCTTTTGCAAGACTCCAGAGAGCTTTCTCCTTGCAGAGATGCAGATCTCTGCAAGGAAGCTCATCTGTAATAGTCGTCAAAACTTCAGCAATGCAGACAATTATTGGAATCTCTGCCCAGCAATAGACCCTCCACCAGGGAGCTCACCCTAGCTGCTGATTAAGGTCTCCCACACTGATGGATTTTGTGTACAAGTAGCCCACATGAAGTCCTGCTGTGGGATGTTCTGTATGCCAAATGTGTTGCTGATTGGTCAATAAATAAAACACTGATTGGCTAGTGGCTAGGCAGGAAGTATAGGCTGGACTAACAGAGAGGAGAATTGAGAGAAGAGGAAGGCGGAGGGAGACACTGCCAGCCGCTGCCATGACAAGCAGCATGTGAAGATGCCGGTAAGCCACGAGCCACGTGGCAAGGTATAGATTTATGGAAATGGATTAATTTAAGCTATAAGAACAGTTAGCAAGAAGCCTGCCACGGCCATACAGTTTGTAAGCAATATAAGTCTCTGTGTTTACTTGGTCGGGTCTGAGCGGCTGTGGGACTGGTGGGTGAGAGAGATTTGTCCTGACTGTGGGCCAGGCAGGAAAACTCTAGCTACAAAGTCCTTCTTCCCTTTTGCCGTCAAACAATCCTTTTCCTCAAGTGTCTTAAATATACTGATAGCTCATCATGGTGCTATAATTCTGAATGGAAAAAAAATGTGCCTCAGAAGACTTCAGTGTGGCCCTATTTAAAAATAAGTGACGGTTTTCTAAGCAAAGCCAAACAATGCCTTGGTGACGGACTTGGTTTTTGAGGATTGCCTAGGCAGCTCCCTAACTTGTGGCCTGAGTGGCGCCATCACCTCTCCTTCCTGGGACTGCCAAGGATCCTGAATGCTTTGCACAGTTAAGTATAGCATCTCAAAATCTCCTATTAATACTAATATTGTTCTTGCTTGTTGCAAGGGTCTCTGCGACCACCATGGCCAGCAGAGTGACAAGTCACCATAGGTAAGAAGGCAGTTTGGTTCAACCTGACTCAATAGCTGGTGTTAGTTCAAACTTCTGGAGTCTGACGCCGAGTAACTTATTTTAGTAATATTTAAGCACAGCACAATTTGGTGAAAACTTATTCCGATGATAACTCAATTCCATGTTCACAACAGAGCATACATAAATCATTTTTACTCTTTGTAAAGTCCATAAAGATAGTTTCCATAGATGGACTGAGAAAACAAGCTTATGATTAGGATCTGGGGGAGTATGTAGTGCCAAAAGAGTCTCTAGTCACAAAGATGGAGAAATGGTCAGCAGGCCAGTAAACACACTGGCTCCAACCTTCTCGGTGGATAATGGGTATAGCATTTCTTCCTCTAAGAAACAACCCAGTGTGCTTAACATTCTTGGTTCCCATAGTGCTTACCTGTGAGCCCCACGTCCTCCATAGCTCTACAGGTTATGCTGAAGACAAAAGAGTTGTAAAATAAAATTAACATTTAAACCATCACCTCTATCATTTATTACCTTACTGTCCTACTCCTCCTTCAAGAGAGACACACAGGCAAATGTGCCAAAGATTGTTCTTAGGGTTTGAGAATGAAATGGTCACCTCTGACTGGTGTAGTTGGTCTTCAGCTGTCATGTAAACTTTAGGATTCTGAGCCTACCTGGAGGAAGGAGAACATGTGGTGGACGTGATTTTAGAAATTGGGCCTGGTCCCCAGTCCTTTGCTCTATGTTTGATGCCTCTCGTGAGTGAAGTAACCTCTGCCATACACTCCCATCCTATGATGTTTGGTCTAAGTGCAAGGGGCCAGGTGATCACGTACTGACCTTTCTGAAACCATGCAAAATGATCTAATATGATTAACTTGTCGTTGTCATAAGTTATTGTGATAATTGCAGTGTTTCTCCCTTCCCTCCCTCTAAACCCTTCCATATACCTGCTCTCCTTCAAACTCATGGCTACTTTTTTCATTAACTGTTATTAGGAACGTATACAGCTAAGTAGCACCTGCTCAGTTCATATAATGTTACTTGTATGCATGTTTTCATGGATGACCATTTGTGGTTGGACAACCAGACAGTGTGTGTTCCTCTCTAGCAAAGAACACATCTCCAGATACTTTTATCAGCTGTGTAGCCAGATATGATAGTCTTGTTGTCCTCCACTCCTCATGCTGTCCTGGAAAGAATCTCAGTAGCTATGTAGGTGTTTATCAATAGTCATGGGATAAAACAACTTCAAGCAATAGAAAGATGCTTTATTTTTAAGCAGATGGACAATTATTTAGATTTAACTAAATGTGCACAAGAGATAGATATTTCCAGAAAGGACAAGCTATCCTATATTGACATGATACTCAAACGACACAAATATAATGCAAATATCCTGTGTTCATATCTAAATTGGAGTCATTTTTGTAGAAAAGGAAAGCAGAGATGGGGGGGGGGATAGAGAGCAAATACTTCTTAGAGTATATTTTTATTTGCAAAAGTTCAGAAGTAGAATTGATTTTGTAAGTGTTTATTACAATGTTCTTGCTGTAGAACTCAGGAAGCATTTGTAAATATTTGTGTACTTCTCATTTCTTGGGTTTCTGTGTCTAAATTTGCTGTTTAGAGTACCTTGCCAGGTAGGTTGCTTCCTCATACCTGTGTTTTAGAATAAGGAAGTCTTATTGAGTAATAATAGCAGTTGCACTAGGTAAACTTGACTGATTTCTAAGCCCAGAGCTAAGCCTGAGTTACAACAGTTACTAACTAGGCCATCATCATACCTTTATCACACACCTGATAACATTAAAGATAGGATTCGGGTCACCAACACCAAAATGATTTTGATTTTGTATGTATATGTGTACTGGTAGGTGTGCGGGTGTGTGTACATGTGTGTCACGGCCTACTTAACATTAGGTATCTTCTTCAGCTGTTCTCTATCTTATTTATTGAGACAAGCTCTCCCACTGAACCTGAGCTTGCCATTTTGGCTTTGTCCAAGGGATTTTCTGTCTCTGCCTGTATGCCTCCCTAGAGATAAGATTGCAGGAGGAGGCCGGGCGGTGGTGGCGCACGCCTTTAATCCCAGCACTCGGGAGGCAGAGGCAGGCGGATCTCTGTGAGTTCGAGGCCAGCCTGGGCTACCAAGTGAGTTCCAGGAGAGGCGCAAAGCTACAGAGAAACCCTGTCTCGAAAAACCAAAAAAAAAAAAAAAAAAAAAAAAAAAGATTGCAGGAGGAATGTCACACCCACCCAGATCTAAGTGGGTTGTAGGGATTCATACTCCTATCCACACGCTTGCACAGTGAGTGTTTTACCCACTGATATATCCTCCCCAGTTCAAAGTTTGGTTTTGAAATACATTGGGAGTTATTTGGAACCAAAGTCTGAAGTAGTCTTTGGTATTGGATTATAAAGGTTGGCATGACTTCGAGAGAAGGCTCTGCTGCAGGTCATAGGGAGATTTAGTAATCCTAGGGTTTCAAAGAAAAAGGTATATTCACTTGTTGTTTTTACTAAATCTCAATCGTTCGATTTTGCCAATAAAGACTTGGGAGCCAGATGTTGGGGTGAAAGCCTGCTAGCTCAGAGAGGCAGAGAAAGCACCCAGCTGACCTTCCTCCTCCACCAATGTTCCAGAAAAAGGCCTTTTTCCTACACTGTCTCAAATAAGACTTCTCCAACTCAGTGTCTCTCCCTTCTACTTCCTGTGCATCTCTCTATCCATCCTCCTGACTCCCTCTTACTCTCTATGGTTTTTTTCTTGTTCACTTCCTGTCAACTGGCTGCTTGCTCCGCCTCTTGACTTTTGGCTGACTTTATTTAATCCTGTTTACAATATTCAAGAAAGCTCTTGGATTAAAGGTGTGTGCTAGGGCTGAGCCACACCATAACTAGAAACAGGTTTTTCCAGTAAATAACGCCATCTTGGGGTTCACAGTGTGATCAGATATCTTGCAACATTCACTAAATGCACTTATTTGAAGAAAGGAAAAGTTAGAAATCAATAATTAAAGGGAATAAAATAAGGAAAATTATATAAAGATGCTTTTTTAAATTAATGAAATTAAAAGAGATAGAGAAATAGTCAAACTAAAATCTGATCACTTGCCCTTTTATCAAAATGAGCCAAACTTGCAAAACTGACAGATAAAGAACAGCAAACCTATTACTACTGTCAATCATTCAACAGAGGATGAAACTGCAAATCCCACATCGTTAGGAAGGCTAATAAGAGACTAATATCAGCAGGTCCACACACATTTGCTGGGGGATGTCTTTCTGTATGCTGTGAATATATGTTGTTCCCATTGGTTAATAAATAAGCTGCTTTGGCCTATGGCAAGGCAGCTTAGGGGCAGGCGG